CATTGGCTGGTAGATGGCACCCGGAGGAGGCCAACCCTGGGTCTGTGGGAGGTAATTGGCAGCAGGTGGTCTCTCAAGTATCTTTTGCCTCTTGTTCTTCCCTTTCAGACACCTCTCCTGCTATGTCTTCCCCTGAAATTGCCTCCCTGTCATGGGGACGGATGATGGTGAAAGGCTGCCCCACAACTTATAAAGATTGTAAAGTATGGCCCGGTGGCAGCCGAACGTGGGACTGGAGAGAAACGGGCACGGAAGTAAGTATCTTGGAGGAATTCCTTCGGGGGCCTCCTATGGCATCAGGCATTTTTATGCCCCAGGGAGAATCCCAGTTTATCCAGCCAAAAGAAGCAAGAATTAGGAATGGTTCCTCTTCGTCTCAGATCCTGGATGTCTCCTGCTGTCAAACAGGCTAGAAAATCGGGCTTTCCAATCCCGTTGATTCCTGTACCTGCTTCCCAAATCTGGGGAAATTACCCAAAATGAAATAAAAATGAGTTTGGATAACAACACACAAACTTATTATCCATGGCAACAGGGACAACTCTATAACTGAGTTATAGACTGCCATGTACAAAGATAGTCCTCGATTTATATCAATTCATTTAGTGGCCATTCGAAGTTACAACGGCATTGGAAAAAGTGACTTACCGTATTTTCTGGAGTATAAGACGCACCAAGATTTTGAAGAGGCAAGTTTTTTAAAAAGTTTTTGATCTCATTTTTTTACCTCATTTTTTTGTGAAAAATGGGGTATGCAGAGAGTTTGAGAGGCCTGCAAAGTTCTCCTGGGGGCTGAGGGGGGGGGGAAATGAGCAAAAACAGGCCCATTTTTGTGAAAACGGGCCCATTCTTTTTGCAAAAAACGGCATGCATAGGTTTTGGGAGGCTTGTAGAGTGCTGCTGGGAGCTGGGAGCCAAAAATGAGCCAAAAACGGCCCGTTTTTCACTTGTTTTTGCCTTCCCCAGCCCCCAGGAGCACTTTGCCAGCCTCACAAACCCTCTGCACGTCCATTTTTGTGAAGGGGGCAGAGTTTCGGGAGCCCAAACAAGCTGTATTCAGTGTATAAAACACATCCAGATTTTCACCCTCTTTTTTTGGAGGAAAAAGGTGCGTCTTATACTCCAAAAAATACGGCGTCTTATACTCTGAAAAATATGGTAGTCACACTTAACGACCATTGTAGCATCCTCACGGTCAGGTGATTTACATTCAGATACTTGACAACTGAGTCACATTTGTGACAGTTGTAGTGTCCCAGAGTCACGTAATCCCCTTCTGCGACCCATTAACAACCAAAGTTTATCGGGAAGCCAGATTCACTTAACAACTGTGTTCCTAATTTTAACAATCCCTGCATGTTAAGTAAATCACAAGGTCATCGATGAAACCCAGCTTTCCCCATTGGCCTTGCTTGTCGGAATCCAACTGGGATGATCGCAGACAACGATCACCTGATCCTTGGGATGCTGCATAAACACAGGCTGGTTCCCTAACGCCCAATTAGCAATAGCAATAGCAGTTAGACTTATATACCGCTTCATAGGGCTTTCAGCCCTCTCTAAGTGGTTTACAGAGTCAGCATATTGCCCCCANGATTGTAATTGGAGCCCTTGGGGCAATACCTAAAGGGCTACCTCGCTATTTGGAAATTGTAAATTTATCAGACTTGAACATTCTGATTCTACAAAAAACCACCACTTGGAACAACTTATATCCTCTGACGTTACCTAACGGTTCTTAGATCCTTGGTTAGGACTCAAGCTGTTGAGCTACCAACCAGCCGTAAAGGCTGTGAATCTCACCAAAGATTAACCACATAATAATAAATAATAATTACTCGGAACATCGTACATTTATGAAGATACTTGATGGATACCTATGATAACAACCCATATCAATCATCACTGCCAGTGATTGATATTTGTGATACATGTATAAATGTTCAGTTGACTTGAGTTTCATGTTTAATAAATAAGAGATAATAATAGTAATAATAATAATACAGCAGTAGAAAGATGCCAGAGTACCAGGAAGATCAAATAATAATAAATAAATAATAATAATACAGTAGAGAGATGCCAGTGCACCAGGAATATCAAATAATGATAACAACAGCAACAATAATAATGGATGGATAATGGCTATTGATGAAATGCGTAACAGTGATACCCATTGTCATCGGGGCACTTGGTACCACGTTCAAGAATTTTGCAAAACACATCAAGAAATTGCAGCGTCCTGCGATAACACCAGCGGAATTGCAAAAAAACGCTACTCAGAACATCGTACATGTTAAGATACTTGGCGGATACCTAGGATACCAATCCGTATCAGACATCAGTACCAGTCAATGATGTTTCTGATGCATTTTTGAATGTTCAGTCGACTGAGTTTCATGTTTAATGAATAAAAGAAATAATAAATGATAGTAATACAGCAGAGAGATACCAGTGCACCAGGAAGATCAAGTAATAATAATAACAATAACAACAATAATAATAAATCTCACCAAGATTAACCACATAATAATAATAAATAGTAATACAGCAGAGAGATGCCAGAATACCAGGAAGAACAAATGATGATGATGATGATAATAATACAGCAGAGATGCCAGAGTATCAGATGAAATAATAATGATAATGCTAATTGTAATAATAAACAATAATTCAGCAGAGAAATGCCAGAGTACCAGGGAGATCAAATGATGATAATGATAACAAATAGTAGTAATAGTAATAATAATAATATAGCAGATACCAGAGCACCAGGAAGATCAAATGATGATAATAATAAGTAAAAGTAATAGTAATAATGATAATGATAATAATAAATAGTAATACAGCAGAGAGATGCCAGAGTACCAGGAAGAACAAATGATGATGATGATGATGATGATAATAATAATACAGCAGAGATGCCAGAGTACCAGATGAAATAATAATGATAATGCTAATAGTAATAATAAACAATAATTCAGCAGAGAAATGCGAGTACCAGGGAGATCAAATGATGATGATGATGTTAACAATTAGTAGTAATAGTAATAATAGTAATAATAATAATATAGCAGATACCAGAGCACCAGGAAGATCAAATGATAATAACAAGTAAAAGTAATAGTAGTAATAATAATGATAATAATAATAATAATAATAGTAATACAGCAGAGAGATGCCAGAGTACCAGGAAGATCAGATTCTCCAAACCAAGAAAGTACTTTGCTGCTTAGAGGAAAGAGGAATCTTGTACCCATATTCCACTGCATGCCCATCATCCCCTTCTCCCTCCTTCCCCCGGCTGATCAATCCCAATTTAGTTGAAGGGATGGAAAAAACAACCCCACTTTAGCTCCTCAAAATGCCTCCCTGGGACCCCGGGAGGGAATCCCCTCAGGGGCCGACCCGGGTCGGCGTCTCGTGTGAAGACGCCCCTCCTGATCCCAGCAAGACACCCCCCCCCCACGAAGGAGGGGAGAAAAGGGACCGACGATGACGACCCCAAGGTGTCCAAGTCGCGAGGCCCAGACATTAAGCGGATCTCTCTACCCGGCGCTGAAGGAGGGAGGCCCGGCCGGGCCACGGCGGCGTCCCGGAGGGAAGTGAAACGGGGCCCGCAGCGGCGGGGGTGGGGGGGAGAGGAAATACGGCCTTGCTCTCCTTGCTCCGAGGAGCCGCGAACGGTTCGAAGCTGAGGTAAATTCGCCCCCCGGTTGGGCTTACCCTGGTCGCCGGGCTCCTGCGGCGCCTGCAAAACGCGCTCCAGCTCCGGGAAGGGCAGCTCGGGCAGGTCGAGGAGGGCGCCGTACCTCTCCAGGAAGGAGCAGACGACGGCGAAGTTGGGCCAAGAGCCCGGGCGGGAAGAGCCCTCCGGCGGCGGGGCGGCGGGGAAAGGCGGGGAAGGGGGAGCCGCCGCCGCCGCCGTCGCAGCCGCCATCTTGGAACCTGAGAGGATGGATGGATGGATGGAGGAGGAGGAGAGGCGGGCCGGGCGGCCGCGCGGAGGAGGAACGCAGGGGGCGCTGTGGGGCGGGGAGAAAGAGACCCCCGCCGCCATTCTCCCGTCGGGCCCCGCGAGAGGAGGCGAGACGAGGCGAGCCCGAGTAGGAAAGGAGGCGACGCTGGGAAAGAGCGGCCCGGGATAGCAAGCCCCCCCCCCCGTCTCTCTGTGTCGTTGGTTTAAGATTTCACTGATTGACACAGGAACCAAAACGAGCCTGGCGTTGAGGGGCGGGAGTGGGAGGAGTCGGAAAGGGGCGGGCAGAGAACGCCGCCCGAGCCAATCTCGCCGGCGGCGACGGAGAAAGGGGCGCAATCATAATAGAAAGGGACGAGGAGGAGAGCACGTCGAGGCTCCGCCCACCTCCACAAAAAAAAAGAGGGGGCGGGACCGTAAGCGAGGGCGGGGAGCCCGATGTTATGGAAAGGTTGGTTAGTGGGCGCGGCCCGTGTTTGTAACGTCGCCTTCGGCCAATGAGGAGCGGGAGGGGGCGTATCCTGCCAGACGGGAGACAGATGCGTGGTCTGGACAGGTGAGCGGGGCCTACGGGGACTACAACCCCCATCGCTCCCCATCCGCCACGCTGCGGATGATGGGGACTGCAGTTTGGAAGCCCTCGGGGAGGCAAGCGCCTCCCTGAGTGGCTGTAGAAAGGGAGTTTGTCAGCTGCAATTCAGGTACGGGTAGTTCTCGACTTACGACCAACATTGAGCCTCGAACCTTCCGTCGCTAAGCGAGACGGTTGTTAAGCGGGGTTGGTCCCGTTTTAAGACCTTTCTCACCACGGTTGTTAAGTGAATCACTGCAATTCTTAACATGGATAATATAATATATAATTAAAGTTATATAATTAATATAATATAATTAAA